AAAACAACAATCATCTACAGGATGTAATGAATACAGCAATTCAGAGGCTACCTCCGTTTGCATAAATGTTGGCTTCGCCAAAAGGCTTCACGCCTTCTCCTGGTATTGCTCTTGGTAATGTCACTTCAGAGTCATGATGGTGCGGTTGCTCTGTTTTTTAAGATCCGATCTCCTGCCTATTGTATAGTCCTCATGTTTGGTGTGAAGCACAATCTGTGCTTTGGTCGGGAGCCCAGTCACGCTCAGAAGAAATTCGTGTTTGTATTTGTATCAGTTCTATCATTTTTGCATTTTTACCGTCTCTATCAGCTGTTAGTGTCATTATTCTCATTAAGCAGAAGGAGTAGCAGTGGCAGCATGCAGCGGTAGCATAAGGAATCATAAGGAGCCGTAGCAGCAGTACGGGTAGCAGGGTAATTCCATCGACGCGGGTTCGCATTCAAACTTGAATATGACCCAGAGTTTGGGGAAATGCTCCGTCACTTGCCCTGGAAAGCCACGAGGAGGTGGATAACTGAGGGAGCACATAACATATGTATATATATATATATACGTATATATATATATATATATCTATGTATGTATGTATGTATGTATGCATGCATGCATGCATGCATGCATGTCGGTATGTACATCTGTCGGTATGTATGTATGGAAGTAAGCATGTATGCATGCATGTGACTAAGTAAGTGTGTATGTACGTTTGTGTGTACGTGTAGGTGTAGGTGTAGGAGTATTTGTATGTATGTAATGTATGTATATATGTATATATGTATGTATGTCTGTATGTATGCATGCATGCATGCATGTCGGTATGTACATCTGTCGGTATGTATGTATGGAAGCAAGCATGTATGCATGCATGTGACCAAGTAAGTGTGTATGTACGTTTGTGTGTACGTGTAGGTGTAGGTGTAGGTGTAGGAGTATTTGTATGTATGTAATGTATGTATAGATGTATGTATGTATGTATGTATGTACGTATGTATGTATGCATGTATGCATGTGTGCATGTATGCACGTGTGCATGTGTGCATGTGTGCATGTATGCATGTATGGATGTAGAGATGTGTGCATGTATGGATGTATGGATGTATGTATGCATGTATGTATGCATGTATGCATGTATGTATGTATGTATGTATGTATGTATGTATGTATGTGTGTGTATGTATGTACTGTCTGAAGCCGCCCATCCTGGCAACCACTGTAAACAGAAGTAATAACATGAGACACTCTGCCAAGTTGTGACATCCATAAGTCCGGCTAGACGGCTAGACCCAAGTGCAAAAGTCCCTGTAAAGCTCGAGGCCATCATGACAATCAGCACAATCCCATGTAAAAAGTCATTATCGGCACCCCTCCTCCCACCCGAAGCCACAAATTCGAATAGGCTTAATCCCCTAGCCGGGGAATCCTTACCTGTTTGCCAATTTCAACCTAGACCGTCGTCCTCCTGTTCTCCATGCCATGTGGCTCTTTATGCATCCCCACTTATTAAAATAAAGTCAGATCTCCACAAACCATTGTTATAGTCACAAACGACATGTTGAGTCGTCAAACGTGCAGGTCTGCCACCTGATCTCCGCAGGCCCATACAGCAATATTGCGATTCCATCCCGCAGCACACTTGAGGCCGAACTACACCAACAAAGGCAAAGCAAGAAGCACATGATTTACAACCTCTCATGGCTTCAATCCCGAAAGCTTTGGGAACCAGAGTCGATGTCCGAGAGTGAGCACCGAAACCAAAGTCGGAGCGACCTCGTCGCTCCATCAAAGCCAGTCTATCAGTCTGAAGTAAAGACGAGTCGAAGCTGCGTATTAGCCGCGCACTTACGAACCCCGTTTTTTTGTGATTAGCTTATGTTCTGAGAGAAACACACAAGTAAAGGCTGGCCGAAGCTGCTTCCATCGGTTTACAAGTGGCTACTTTGCAGCATTTTGCTTGCAGGCCATGCTGTCACGCTTTCCGACAAACTTTAAGCAGAGCGTCCTGTTGAATGCAGGCTTCACACGAGTCTTCAAGTAAGCCACTAAGCTACTACATTTCGTGTTTTCGGGGAAGTTCCTTTTGCCATGCTGTCGTTGTTGAGACGAGTGCCTGCAGTGCCTGGCGGTGCCCGGTGCATGACGCGGGCGAGAGCTCCCCCGCAGAACTTTACCTTGCGGTCTTGGTGCCGGCGATGGTTTGCCCGCGAGACTGGGGTGGCTCGGCAAGACACAGTATTCACGCCTTCTATGCAGCAGATGCATAGGTTACAGGACGTCCAGCCCTGCACCAGTGTCTCTACTTTGCAGCTTCGCAGCATTCTGCCAGTTTGGCTGCTCTACCTTCAAACTTACACTCTCAGAGCAGGCTCAGAGAGAGATCTCCTCATCACTGCATTGAGCCCAAACCCGAAAGTCTCCGAGCGGCGGTGTCTTAACCTTAAGAGCTGATCTAGGCGTCTAGAAAGGGGTCTATGCCTGAAGCTCCCATGTCACCTCAGGTGGTTGTGAAATGGGACGAGAAGCGCGGCTTCGGCAAGGTGCAGTGTGAGGATGGTCGAGAGCTCTTCGTGCACAGCAGCTACCTGCAACAGCCGCTTATGCCTTGGGGCAGCAATTCGCCTTCATCCCCAAATCCTCCCGTTTCTGCCGAGACTGACTGGCAAAAACAAGCCTTGGAATCCGAAACCTCCAATAATCTTGCGGGGCCCGAAATGTTTCAACCTTTCCAAGCACACTTGCGCCGTGAAGTGCAGCAGTCCGCCACAAGCCGAATGCGAAGCGAAGAACTCTAATCAGATGTATGTCAGTCAGCGCCGTAGCCAAGGACTGAAGGTCAGACGGTGAGCTTCGAGGCCTCGGGGACCAAACGGCCAGGGTTGAGGAGTGTGACGGCTTAATACAAGGGCAGTAGTTTACACTTTTCCACCGGCTGAAGCGTGCAAGGGTTTTCGGCGTCGTGCTCTGCATGTTGTTCTGGGAAAACAGTGAATGGCGGCTTTTTGTGCATATCCAGATGGTGCCGGCCCACCGCTACTATCGCCACCGCCTGCGCCGCCACCGCCACCACCACCACCACCGCCACCACCACCACCACCACCACCACCACAACCAGCACCACCACCACAACCAGCAACGCGATGATG